CTTATTATATCTCTTTTTATAACTATTTTTTATTTTTTTATTTTTCTTATTTCCCTTAAAAAATATTTCTATATTTAAATTTAAAAAATAACTTAGTATTTTAGCTTTATATAGTAAATATATCTAACTCTTACTCTAACTCTAAAAACATAAATAGGCAACTTTAAATCAAGTATTTTATTAAATAATAACTCTATATATTAAAACCTCAGATAGAGTTATATTCTAACTTAGTTAGAAGGGGGTATAAAAACCCCTCTTCCAGCCGATCCGGAGGACCGGCACAAGTAATCATCAACATCATCATCACTGTATTAATCCCCATCTATCAGATTGAATTAACCGTAACGGATCCATCAATCTGCACAAGATTAAGCATAAAACGTTGCTGCCTAAGGCAAGATCGGTATTTCTTAGGCCTGAATTTGTGTACGCAAATTCACGCGTGACGCAGGTACCATCGTGGCAAGCACCGCAAACGAATGGTGACACCTCGTCGCCGCATTTAGCGGCGTCGCGAAGGTTTGGTCTGATGCTGAACTGACAAAATAGGGTGACCTCTGACAAGCTATCGATTGGAAGGGCTTGGTGAATGGGTGGAACTCTCATTCAGGGTGTGACTTAACGTAGCCGCATTAAATCCACGTGGGTCGCTGTGAATCTCCAGGACCACATGCTGAGGCATCATGGCGTACCTTGTCCAATCTCAATGAGAGCTAGAGGCAAACTCCGAGCCTTGATGGATTGCGCGCTGAGCCCTTTCGACTGCCCAGCGACGCTTGAGGGTCATGGCAATTCGGATAACGCAGTCGCCTTCTCGCCGATGGCCTGATGTCTGGAGACGCGATGGTGTTCTGACACGTCAAGTGTAGCTGTAATTATGGAGACGTTTGGCCCGTAACTATCTATACCATGGCATTCTGGTCCCGGTTTGTTTGATTTGGGCACCTGAAAACAAACCAGTTTCGACGCCCTATCATCCGCGCCCCTTATTACAATTTTATCAACCTCCATGAAGAACTTGAGAAGCTGCGGAAGCAGCTCCGGGAAGAACATTGCCGACGCGGCGGCGGAGTCCCCTGGTCCACGAGGCAGCCGTCAGGCCGATTGTGGGAGCATGTGATACCGACCTTCCGTGGCACATGGGAACGAAGTTTATTGGGCGAGGGTTGCCGATTCACTTGCACGTACGTGCTTGCGGTCGAGGAGGTGTGGCGTCGCCGAATAGCTACGGATAGGATAAGGAAGCTGTGACGTAGGTAGGTCGTTCCTCTTGGAAATGACACAGTCGGATGCTGTTGTCAAACCTTTATTGGACTGGATATGTCGGAAAGCTAGCGTGGCACTCGGATGACTTGATCGCGTGTATTGTGTGTCTATGTGTCCGGGAGGTCTCCCGGCCTTGCCTGCCAAGTGTGCATATTAAGACTAAATGTAGGGCCTGAGGCATCGACACTAATAGCCGGTCTCGACCGCCTTCCTATTCGGGCTGTGCCCGGCAAAGGCTCGGCGAGACGTCGGCCGCACCCCGGATGTCACCAGTGACCACCTGATCGGAATGCTCTGTACATGATCCAATCTAACATAAATAGACTTACTACTCTAGTAAGCTTATAGAATACACTTGAGTATATAAACACTTATTAGCATCTCTAATCGTTATAATAATAATAATTTCCCCTCTAATCCCTGCCAATCTAGGTAAGTAAGTCACCCCCTCCAACTGCTATTAAGTAATGGGGAAATCGCGGGGTGCTCAAAGCCCCCTCCACACTGCTGCTAGCCGCAACCAGTAACCCCAAACCCCACAAAAATAACACCACTGTCGTCGTCGTCGTCTACTGAGCTATGTAGTATGTGGCTTCGACCCAACGCAATAATATCTGCACTAGCCATACTTGGACATTACTACGGAACACTGGTAACTGGCTGGAATAGGGCAGCATATGCTTGTCCTGGAATGGAAAGCAGAAACCCCCCGAAATTAAACCAAGCCTTAAGCCCACATTCTTCATCCGCTAAAACTTATACGTAGTCTGTCACTGGAACTTTTGGAAGGACTGGCTGGCTACTTGTTTCCCAAACTCGAGACTCAATGTTTTGCGCCATGGCCGATCGAAGCAAAATGGCTGAAGACCGACAGGTTCTCCTCGCAGTTTCAATAGCGACACTCATCATCATTGGCGGATGGCTTCTAAAGTCTTCGCTACAGAGAGGGAAGTACAGGCTGCCGCCCCAGGTGCCTGGCCTGCCAATTTTCGGCAATACCTTCCAGATTCCTGCTGTGCAGCAAGGTCCTTGGGCTAAGGATCTGGCCGAAAAATATGGAGAAATGTTTGTCCTCAGTCCGCCCCTTCCAAGCATATTCTTATGCCTTTCTTCCCGAACATCCTCCCTTGTAGCGTTGTGCTCTGGAGCATGAAGATTCGAATGTATAATACTGATAATGCCCGATTCTTAGGTTCACTTGCAAGTTTGGAGGCAGCACATGGGTTTTTCTTAACTCCTCCCGAGTTGTCACAGATCTGCTGGAGCGCCGTGCCGCTCTCTACAGCTCCCGCCCACCTTTCCCCATGACACAAGGGATCATGTCCGGAGACTCGCGCATTGTCCTGATGCCGTACAACCAGCGGTGGAGGATTGTCAGAAAGATCATGCATCAAATTCTCAGCGCCAGGGCTCTGGATGTTTTCATGCCTTTCCAGGACCTTGAGTCCAAGAACCTGATCTGGGACTACTTGGAAACTCCTGATAGATGGTGGGCTGCAAATAGTCGATACGCAAACTCGGTCATTATGAGTGTTGTCTTTGGCAGGCGGTCTCTGTTGGATGACCCAGATGTCGTTGAGCTGTTCGAGACGGTCGAGCTATTCTTGGAGAACCAGCAGCCTGGCAAAAATTTAGTCGACGGGTTCCCTGTGCTCGAAAAGCTCCCCAAAAAGCTACAGTGGTGGCGTCCACGAGGCGAGGCCATCTTTAATAAGACAGTCAAGTAAGTCAAGCGTCGACTTCTAGATGCTGAGTCCCATACGGTCAGATTTGATGTCGTACTAAGCATGCGCCACAACAGGGTCTACCAGCGCGAAGTAGAACGTCTTGAGAGAAAGCAGAAGGAAGGCACCCAGCGCCGTTGCTTTGCCACGGACTTCCTTGAGACTGAAGAGGTGAAGAAGATGGATGACACCCAGAAGCTCTTCGTTTTCGGCACTCTGATGGAAGCGGGAAGTGACACATCCAGGGTGACAATTGGTCAGATCATCGCCGCTGCTGCAACATACCCGGATTGGGTTGCAAGGGCGCGCACAGAGCTGGAAGCAGTGTGCGGCCCCAATGCCGAAAGGCTGCCACAATGGGAGGATCGCCCTAAGCTGAAGTACATTTCGGCGGTTGTTAAGGAGGGCTTCCGGTGGCGTCCCAACATTGCCGAGATTGGAGCGCCGACCATGTTGACCAAGGATGACGAGTACGAAGGCTACAAGTTTCCCGCGGGCACCGTTTTCACCTGGAACGCCTGGGCCATTGCCCTGAACTCTGAAGAGTATAAAGACCCGGAACGATTCTGGCCTGAGCGATTCCTTAATGGGGATGAAGAGAATGCCTTGAAAGGACACTGGGCTTTTGGACCAGGTAAGCGTTAAAGAATGCTGCTTCTCCCTCTCTGCTTATTCTGTAAGAACATAACATCACTGACATATATGAACCGAACAGGACGCCGAGTCTGTGTGGGATGGAAGGTGGGCGAGATGAACGTGTGGATCGCCATTGCGCGCATCCTCTACTGTTTTGACTTCACGCAGGTTCCTGGCAAGCCCATCGACACCATGACGATTCCGCAGATCACCAAGAATGCGGCGCCCTTCGATGTGGAAGTAACCGTGAGAAGCCAGGCCCACGCCGAGCTGATCCGGCGGGACTGCGAAGAGGCTGTGAACACCAGATATTAGGATGCTGCTAAGTTCATCTGCCTCAGGTAACCGAACTGAACTACATGATCTACTACTGAACCAAGACAATTGATGTATATTGGACAGCCGTAAATAAGACATGGAATTTACATGTATACATATAACATCGGCCTATTGCGTGATTCCAAAGTCGTCTTGAATAAGGGTGATTCCAGGCAATCGCTTCGACTAGCCTTTTGCATCTTAGAATGTTTATATAGATTAGCGAGAGACTATCTGAATATATCAGGCATAGTATTGACTAGTATCTGTCCATTATGGAGGAGTTGCTGCTGGCAGAGTAAAAAGACAAACACCTTTTTTTCCCCACATTTTCAGCATTTTAAAGCCCAAGGCTTCAACGGTTACCAATGATATACTAATCGATTCTTCTATATGCCTTAGCTAATGATATCCCTTACTTTCTATAGCTCTCTTACTCTCTATTTAGGAGCGATAGGGATCCCGTCTGTCGTATTAATGCCCTCTCCTATCGTCTGTCGATAACACTGAGCCTTTAAAATGTTAGAACATCTAAAGATAGCATCGAAGAGGATGCGAATATTACTATATCAAACCATTGCAGAAATTCCTAAACGCTTGAGCAGGACGACATTTTTCAACTGATGGTCGGGCATAGCAGGGAGACCTGCGAACAACGGGGCGACCAACACCGAAAATAGAGAAACAATGCTGCAGGCAAGCGTTCATGCAGGCACGACCGTTGACTTGGATGGTTCCAGAGTTGCTGAGAAAAGCTTAGCAGGTGGGGTTCCCCAATTCCCCCATCTGGTCGGCCTAAAGGGATTAAGTGAGATTAAACTCTCCTTCCTCCCTTACCGGGAACTCCGGCCGCTCAATAACTTAGCACAGCGAGGCCAGCGGCTCTGAGGCCTGCGAATCATATCGAAACATGTCGTACACGCTCTCGCATGAATCCCTGGGCGCCAAGCTTACCGGCGTAGAGCTCCCTTCCGTGCTACAGTTCCGTGGCGTACCCCGTGGCAGGACCCCAGCCCGTTTCGCCAAGCCGGTGTCTGTAGAAGACCTGCCACTTGAACTGGACTGTACCAAGTTTGGATGGGTTATCGACTTGAGCTGTTCGTGCCGGCAGTCACCGTACCCATTGAAATGAGCTGACAGAGTTGCGTCTTCGACTAGACCCCGCTGTCCCCAGGTTCCGGTGGATGTGGGCCATCTACTTCGGCTGCCCGCATCCCACACTATGCCCCACGAGCCCGAGGATGAGTTCGCATGCCTCAATCTTGATGTCTTGGTCTCAAAGCCAAAGAACACCTCACCGCTATCCGCGCAGAGATTGTCTGTGTTTGTCTGGATACATGGTATGACGATGAGCCATCAGACACCCGAGTTACAAGCTCAAGAGATATCAAATGATTGACGTGGAGCTGAGGTGGGTCACAGGCCATGACCTTTGGCAACTTTGCATCCGGCGTCTGCGGTATGCTTTGTGCGTCAAAGCGTCATCATTGTCTAGGACTGATCTTCATCTCGCAGATATGACGATACTGGCGAGCGATGCGCAGAGTAATGGAACCCCCATCGTCTGTGTATCGATACAATACAGGGTGAACATCTTTTGTTTCGGCGACGAGGCAAGCGCAAAGAACCTCGCTGTCCTGGATCAAGCCCTGGCTATAGAATGGGTCCAACAACATATCATGGACTTTGGCGGTGATCCGGTGACTAGTCCCATCCTCAAATCATAGGGAGAAGAACTGACAATGAGACCAAGACCCAAGTCACATTAGCTGGCGAAAAGCGCAGGCGCCGTCTGCTGCCACGTCCACATGATCAATGAAGCTCCAGCCAAGCAAATAATCCCGTCTTCTGGCACATTGTATCTCTCGCCTCCCCAGCCTCCAGAGTGAGCGGCAGCTGTCAGAAATACAATCATGAGCGAATTGCAAGGCCTAGGACAGTACCGTCTTCGTTCTGATCCCTGCCATGTGCTCCTTAAAGCCATCAATCAGACTGGAATCAAATCTAGGTTCCTTCAAAATGACTAGCTTATTGAAAACTGGCAAAGCAAAGTTGGCAATCCTGCGAAGCGGCTCCTTCTTAGAGATGTTTAGAATGAGGTTCGTGCTCGCGTGGCCCTGTCAGCTTATGTTGAGATCTTGCAGTAAATGATGTACAGGCTGTCATCTGGCGAGAAGGCATCTGGTCTACCGATCCGGAGACTATTGCAAAGGCCTTCAACCAAGCCGGACCGGAGGGCGATGAGCTTAAGCTAGTTTATAAGATTGATAAAGCTAGGTTATTGTCGTGCATCCTAGGCGCGCTAGACTTCATCAACGACTACAGATTCGTTCTTCCAATAGAGCGGCTTGTCCAAGAATGGCGCGCTGCACAGAGACTCGTGTACCACTGCCTCGTGAATGAGCTAAATCCTTGGCAGCCGAGTAATGGGGCTCATCATGCTGTGGATCTCAGCTTCCTGTCCGGTGGCCTTGATCACTTGATCGATGGAGTTACGAAGCATACTGGAAAGGAGATGCGACGCAGATGGATCGTGTTCATCCACAGGAAATATCCATGGCGTTCAGAGTCATATGTGGCCTTTGGACCTCATGGCACATTTAAAGAGCTGAGTCAAGATGAGTGTAACTCTCGCAGGAGACTAGCACAGATAGGCTATTTAGCCAAAGCAGACTCTGTCCAGCTAGACAAGGCCTTTGGTGCCTTAGCTGCTAGAAGGATTAGTCTCTTAAATTGATAGCTTCCGAGCATCAAAACTGGTCAACAGCAAAGAAACAGATCTAAATTTTACAACAATTGATCAGAGCCCAAGGCAGCTTCGCGATGGATATCTGCTACTACATAATATGCAGCTAAAAAAAAAACATTGAAAATCCGACTTGGCCTTCTATTAACTTTAAACACCATGTTAGTCACATAAGAACATAGCAATACTCGCTTCACCATCTCACTCGACAATGGAGTGTATGGTTGTTAAACGCACCCGCCATACATATCTCCCTCAAATAGGTTTCATCTGATATTCAAAACTGGTCTGCTTCACTGATTACTCTTACGACAGAGCTTGCCATGATCGCTAGTAATGACTGGGCCTGAACGTAAAGCAGTATCGTCGAAGCCATCTTACGTGTCTTTGTATCATCTCCTTGATAGCCAGCGAATCGTCCCCGATGGCGTAAAATGCAATATAGATAGCGCTAATAGCTAAATCAACAATAAGGGCCTCTTCTCATGCAAATTGTACAGCATCATGCAGGATTAAAGATAGGACACATCAATGTACTCTATAGACTCTTTAAACTACGTCTCAAAAGCTAACACTAAACTCATACGTGAATGTCATCAAGAAACTCCAAAACTGCATCAATACACTTGTCAGTGGCTTCAGAAAATATCTCATGACCTAGTGCTTCAATCTCAACCATCTTGGAGCCTGGGACCTGCTCGGATATCCAACGCGACTCACTCAGCGGCACAGCAACGCTGTTTGTAGGGGCCAGAATGAGATATGGCTTTTTGATGTTTTTCAAAAAAGGCCGAGACGTCAAATAAGTGAGAAAGATGACATAGCCGGCTAGTCCCTCCCTTTCTGTCTTGGATGCCTCGTCTAGCAACCATTCAAGGTAAGCCGGGTCTTTGGGGAGGGTTCCGGGGGTTTTCGCTAGCCGTTCGTTCCACCCCCTGACCCCATGTTTCATGACAGCCTCGGGCCAAGACGACTCCCCTACAGCAAACATGTTGACAGCTGGTGGTGGCAGCAGTGTTGGCGTTGAGCAGGTGATGAGGGCGATAGTTCTTTCGGGGTACTTGGCGGTAAAGGCATGGCCAACCTCACCGGATGTCGCCTCGCCCAGAAAGATGACCTTTTGGATGCTGAGCTGGTCGAGCATGTCGACGATTTCCCACAGCATGGTATCGACATTCCATTGATAGCCACCCTCGTATTCGTTGTTCTGTTGGTCACTCCATGGTGAAAGGCGTTTGGGGAAGCTGGATTTTCCGTGACCTCGTGCATCACGCCGAATGACGACAAAACGACGGGCAAGACGTGGCACCCAGCTGTACCACATGGCGGCTGTGCGAGAGCAGCCATGGTTTAGAATAATGACAGGCTTCTCCTCCTGAGGCAGCCAGGGATCAACGAATGAATCGAGATAATAATGACTGACTTGGCCGTTTGGATGCGTCACATAGTAGCCCTCGGATCGGTCGTAAGGGCGTCGCATAGCAGGCTCCAGGGCAGTGTCACTCTGTGGCATTGCTGCTAACGTCGAATGGCTTCGGCTTTCGGTTATATCTCTTCCCATCTTCACGGGTGGATGTTCCGACTCTATAGGCTTCTCGGAAAATTTCATGGGGGTTCAATGTGGACTTTCCCGTGTAATATAAGTTCCTCTCCATTTAGATTTAAATGGCGACGTAGCTCTCAACGACACCCCCCTCCCGAGCCCAACCTTGCCTGAGTTGGGGGCTGACTCACTCCCCTTACTAATGGGCACTTTGGTCACCGACTACTTCAAAATCGTCATCTTCAACCGCGAGTTCTTATGCGCATCTATTGCCAGCTATACATCGCAGATGACAAGACCCCTTCCAGGAGAAACAGCAAGTCGCCCAACCAATGAGGGTCTAGCACGCCTCGACGACCATTTAGGCGACATAATGCAGTGTTCGAGTGCATTATGCTTTTCCAGCCTAGCTCAAGGTTCCAGCTACCTAGATAGGCAAGTGGGGGATAAATTTACCCAATTTAAGCTAGAAACACGTCTTTCATTTTCGGTTTCTTTTAGACCCCACTTGGTGTTGCTATTCCACACTTACATGATGTGGGGGAAGCCTACGAATAACACCCCCCGCAAAAGACTGCCTCTGGACAGGGCCATGCCACAGACCACAGACGTAGATTCGATGCTGTTTTGGCCGATATCGGGCATTGCGATAATTCCCTAGGGTAGGTCTTAACACAAAAGTCCCCAGACCGTATTGGAATGTCTCTCAAAGAAGTTCATTGCAATTTCAAAGCATACCCTTTGCCAATCAAAGCAAGTAAGCCTTTACGGTGTTGACAACCACAATGGCTACTACCAATACAATTGTGGTCTTCCCAGGGGACAACTGTGGCCCAGAGGTGATGGCAGAGGCAATCAAGGTGGGTCATTACTCGGTGAATGCTTTATTCCCTTATACGACCGTCAAGATGATAACTGTTTGAAATTCGAATTTAGGTCCTCAACGTCTTTGAAAGCAGCAAGAACCCAATCAAGTTCGAGTTCAACTATCAGCTTCTAGGGGGCGTAGGTAAATCCAGTCCAGGTTGAGGAAGCTTGTTCATTAAACGAAGGATTGAAGGGTTCCATCGATGCGACAGGCGAGCCCCTTACTGCGTCTGCTCTCGAGCTGGCGAAGAATGCCGACGCCGTCTTGTTAGGTGCGATAGGAGGACCAGTACGTGTTCCGTCAATGCCTCGAATGAAGAAGCTTATCTCATGCCAAGGCTAACACATGCAGAAATGGGGTACTGGTCTGGTGCGACCTGAACAGGGCCTTCTCGGCCTTCGCAAGGGAATGGATGCCTTTGGCAATCTCCGGCCTTGCAACTTTGCGGCCGACTCCCTTGTCGACCATTCCCCCCTGCGACCTGAGATTGCCCGGGGCACCAACTTTGTCATCCTGCGCGAGCTCTGTGGCGGAATGTATTTTGGACCTAACCGGCAGGATCCAGACGAGTCCCTGAGCTCAGCCCAAGACGTCGACTACTACGCACGCTCGGAAATCGAGCGAGTTGCGCGGATGGCAGGCTATCTCGCCATGAAACATGACCCGCCTCTGCCTGTCTGGAGTCTGGATAAGGCCAACGTACTCGCCGCTGCCGGGCGGCTTTGGAGACTGGTCGTGTCCGAGGTCTTCGAGAAGGAGTTCCCAGACGTGCAGCTTGGGCATCACTTGATCGATGCGGCAGCAATGCTCATGATCAAGAAGCCAACAGCATTGAACGGAATTGTGCTCACGAGCAATCTGTTCGGAGACATCATCTCGGACGAGGCTAGTGTGATCCCTGGCAGTCTCGGACTTCTTCCAAGCGCAAGCTTGTGCGATATCCCCGCTCCAGGAAAAAGGGTCAAGGGGATATATGAGCCGATTCACGGTAAGTCACAAGTACTAGTCAACAACTTGTTGACGCTGTCTCCCACTACAGAGAGACTAATAGGTTCCAAAGGCTCTGCTCCCGACATTGTCGGCAAAGGTATCGTAAACCCGGTGGGGACTATATTATCGGCGGCGATGATGTTGCGATACTCTCTGGGACAAGAGGGAGCTGCTGCCGCCGTGGAAAAGGCTGTCGCGAACACACTTAATCAAGGATTTCACACGGCAGATATTGGGGGGTCTACCGGCACAACCGAGTTTGGCGACGCAGTGGTTCAAGTCCTTGAGGCTATATTGGCGTAACAGTCTTGTATTTAGCAGCTACTACTTAACCTGAGTTTTCGCCCTCTCGAGGTGAATTGCTTCCATATTCAAAATGAAGACAATCTTTCACACATTTCTACCCTCTTCACAAACCCAAAGCCAGCACAATTATTTTTAAACAGATACATAGTCATATTCTAGTTGCTGTACAAATTTCACCTCTTCCAGCTCTACCGGATGCTGTTCTCATATTCGAGCGCCTCTCGCATATCCTTCCTCAGCGTTTGAGCTGCCACCGCTGATACTGCAGCCAAAGGTGACCGTGGCAGACCCCCGTATTGGAATGCCTCCTGAAGGACAGCCTTGGTGCCCGAAATTCCGGCAGACGTGTGAGGCCAGTCACCCTCAGATAGCAATGACTGCAGCTGAGTGGCTTCTTGGAACCGTCCCTCGGCGTACAGCTCGTATACCTTGACGACCATCTTGGGTAGAATGTTTGCGCCTCCGGCAACGACCCCCGATGCTCCGACAGCCAGTGCTTGCAGCGTGAAGTCGGCGAGCCCAGCGGCAACCCAGTACGGCTTTTCTGGCTTCGACGGTGTCATGCCATCCATGGCACGAGCAACACGTGCAAGCTTGCCAGTGTCCCCGCACGTGAACTTGGTTCCCACGATGTTGGGATGACCCTTGGAGATGCGGATCAGGAGATCCGAGCTCATGGTGATGCCTGATGATACCTCCGGGAAGCTGTACAGGATGACTGGGAGTGGCGATGCTGCCGCTACCTTCATGTAGAAGTCGTAAATGGTGTCTGGTGTCATGGCTGCCGTGAAATATGACGGCGGCAGGACAAGCACATGAGAGCCGCCAGATTCCTTTGCTTCCTGACAAAGGCCAATCGTCTCATGCACGGATTGAGCGGAGGCGCCAACAATGACTGGCGTGTCACCATGCCCATGAGCGGCCAGGGTATCGACAATGCACTTGACAACCGTCTTTCGCTCTTGGCGGTCAAGATGTACTGCTTCGCCGTTGGAACCCAAGGCGACGATTCCAGAAACTCCAGAATCAATCAAACGCAATGTATGGTACTTCAGCGTCTCGAGGTCAAGGGTCGAAGACTGTGTGAAGAATGTCAGGGTGGCAACATACGCGCCAGGCTTTAGGTTGCGGTTCCGAAGTGTCGCCATGTTGATGAATGCAAGATCAAAGACTCGCAAAGGCTTTCACGGCTGTACGAGACAGCGCAGGCCCCATAGGGAGAACTCTTTCTTATATGATGCGACGGAGCTGATGTGTAACACCCAAGTGCTGGTGTAAAACGAAACCACCCGCAATGTCTACATACGGTTGGATCAACTTCCAACCATTTCTTTCCACGAGAACATTAGTAATTCGACCCAGACAAAATGATGGCTAATCTCCGCGTCCTGATCGAACGGTGAAGCACTCGACATCCAAACCCATTCCCAATCCAGAAGCAAGAGTCCCCCACCCCCACCCCCGCCTATAGCGTAAAAGGGACAGTTGAGCGAGGGTTCTACAAACGTATCTGCAGTATCTGAAGATAAGACACTAAAGGTAACAGTTTAAAGTCCCCAAACCTGATCTCTGTACCCGTGAGTGCCACCCACTCTACATATCTCTTACCCTAGTGTTATTACTATCCTCTGGCACAGACTTCAGCAGTTACGTTTCGAAATGACTACGTACTTGATTCACGTCGACGACCTTGCTTCACTTAAGGATAAAACCATTTTAATCACTGGCGCAGCTACGGGAATCGGACGGTCTGCTGTCCAGATTGCGCTCGGTAAGACCCTTGATAATCAATCTAATTCTTTTAGGCTTGATGAGGAGGATGTGGCTGATGTGTGAATTTGCTCTACGCACCTGTAGAGAACGGTGCAAGAGTGGCTGTGGGTGACTGGAATGAGGAGGCAGCAGCGCTGATTGCGCCCTTTGGAGATCGGGCACTCTTCAAGAAATGTGACGTTTCAAACTGGGACGACGTTTTGAGTCTGTTCGAAGAGGCGCACAGCAAGTTCGGAGTCCTTCACAGTGTCATTTCCAACGCCGGCATCAACACTCACGAAGGCCTTCTCTCGGATGAGTTCGATGAGAAGTCAGGAAAGCTATTGGCCCCTAGCCTAACGTCGATCGATGTAAATCTTGTCGGCCCCATTTACGTGACCAAGTGTGCAATTCACTTCTTTCGCAAATGGCCCGACGTGGCCTCTCAGCTAGTCATCAACTCTTCAGCTGGCGCCTTCTTCCCTGCACCGCCCATCCATCTCTACTGCGCGGCGAAAACTGGATTGCTTGGCCTGATGCGAGCACTCCGAACCGAGACTAGCAAGGAGAACATTACCATAAACACAGTAGCCCCATGGCTAACCAGTAAGTCTATCCCACCCGTTTGCCAATCCCCCCCTTCAGGTTACTTGCCGCTGACATCTGGCTCTAGTCACTCCGATGGTTCTTCCTGACTGGCTGCAAAAATGGGGACATCTCCCAAGGAACTCGGCTACAGGCGTTGCCAATGCGTTATTCCTTCCAATACTCCAGCCAAAGGTCAATGGCAAGTCATTTTTCGTGGCGGGAGACCAGATCATTGATTTTGAGGACACGTTGTATAACGCCGAACCACAATGGATGGGAGAACAGCTAAGCAGGGATGTACGCGCCGGCCAGAAGCTCTTATTGGGTGTCGATTAGAATTAGAAGGACTCGGTGTTAAACTGAGCGAATATACACTCTGCTGGCGTGTTACTACAGGATGCAGCCAACCCCACATCAGCCGCTTTGGGAATTCCCCCACATGAAATGGCACTTCACGAGTGATGATTAGAGGTGGTAAAGGGCGAAAAGGCTTGGGTTTAGAAGGACAGACAAAACATACTATCATCAGTTTACCATCCAAATTCAACTTCAACATGGTCATGTCTCAGATCAACCACCCGCAGCTGGGCAGGTTGACGGGTACCAGCTAGGATGGCATTTCATATTTCCGCGGCATCAAGTACGCATCTCTCGATCATGCATTTGCGGCTCCAAACGTCTACTCGGAGCGTGCGGCGGATGGGCCGGATGCTACGCAACACGGGTGAGAGACGGCGCTCGTCTTGTGTATTGCTTTCATTCTCAAGACTGACCACCAAAGCATCAGGCCTAGTGCCCCGCCTTCAACCGCTGGGTGTGGTATGGAACTTGGTCTCCTTCGGAAAAGCCTACCTCACGGTTCATTCACCACCTCTCCCACCGAATGCCTGAATCTGAACATTGCCGTCCCTGAAAATGTAAAGGGGCCGCCGCTTCCTGTTTTCGTCTTTATCCACGGCGGCGGTTTCGCCATCGGATCCAACGCCTGGCCCCAGCATGACTTGACGCGTCTTGTCAAGCTCAGTGAGGATATCGGCAAGCCGGTTGTGGGTGTTCAAATCAAGTGAGAGTGCCTTCTTGTTGCACATTTTCAATGCGCCCTTTGACTTTGGCAGTTGCTGATGGACTCTTTCTTGAATAGCTATCGCCTTGGTGTCTATGGTTTTCTTGACTCGACCACTTTGCGCAAGGCCGGCGTCAAGTCGAATCGTGGGCTCTTGGACCAGCAGGCGGCGTTTGAATGGATTCGCCTCCACATTTCTGGATTTCACGGCAACCCTGACTTTGTGACAGCGATTGGACAGAGTGCCGGAAGCGGTAAGTAGCTGCCCTTGGAACAGTTGTTGTGTTTCGCTAGCTAAAGACGTCCTGTAACTGTTCAGTTTCCGGTACCTTCCATCTTCAGTCGAGCAAGCCGCTCTTCTAGCAACTGGTCTCGATGAGCGGAACCTCTTTACTCATGGCGCCACTTCCTCTCCAAGTCGCTGACGCTATGTACAAGGTTGTTCTAGAGAGGATCCAGGTTGATGCATCTCAAAGCCCTGCAGAACAGTTGAAACAAGTTCTTCTTGTCTCGGACGAGTTGATTCTGACCCACGTCGGCCCTGATGTGACGCTTCACCCAGTCATTGACAGAGAGCGAGTCGAGTCGAAGCTATCAAGCGCG